AAATCTATAAAAACTTGTCTACAAATAAAAAAACCTACTAACCAAATAAAAACCTATCTACATGATCATAAAAATTTATATATAGAGTATATTTAACCAAAAAAAACAAAGCTTAATAAACAAACCAAACATTAAATGCCTAATAACAATTTTCTCTTAACAGTACTTATATAATAGTTAATTTAAAAAGTAAATCTAAAATAAATATTGACAGAACTGCCTTAATAGTTAAAAAAAAATTTTTTACAAAACCTTATCAATAATACTAAATTACAACACCAATAGTATTTAATATCAAGGCTGATGCTAAATCTGGCTAATGCTGGCTAATGCTAAATATTGGGGCCCACTTTGATATAAAATTTTATAATTTTTTGGAATATATGTTGCTAGCTTTTTTGTGATATTTAGACTAGAAATTAGAGTTAAAATTGTTAATAAAAGAGTATATGTGGGTTTTTAGTAGGTAAATGTAATGGATCCAAATTAAGACCCCAAAATTCAACATTAGCCAGATTTAGCATCAGCCGTGACATTAAAGATTCTAAGAATTCAAATTCCATTTTTTTTTATATACAGCTGTGTATTAAGGCTAGTATAAATTATACGTATCGATATCTTGTTGCTTTCATTACATCATTACACGATCTTTTGTCACGGGTCATGCGTAATATACATATAAATAGTTTTTTTTTTAAGTTCCGAGAAAAAAACACGATATACATACGTACGTACGTACGTACGTAGGTATTATACAAATGCAAAAATATAACAAAGTAAAAACTTGATAAATTTATTTATTGGCTTTAAAATACAGAAATACAACTTAAAGCGAATAAAACTATTTAGTTTTCATTGTTTGCTTTAACATTTTGCGATAAATTATGATTTTTTTAAAAGTCTTTCTTTACGAAATTCTAACTAATGAGAATCCACAAGTTTGAATGGCAGCAGTTATGAGAATGCACTTTTTCTTTTTTTTACCTTTTGCCAATTTTCTTTCGCTTTGTCGTACAAAAGCTGCCTGAACTTGAATGTGTTCTACTACGAAATCGCAAAGTATTTCTCTAGTTGCAAATAAAAATTTCCGACACAAATTTTATATGTGAATTGTTCATGCATCTTTATTGACTTTTATAAATATTTCAATATTAAAATTATCATCAATTTCAATATTATTATTTTTACTGCTGCAATTATATATACAGTATGAAATATTACTCATACTTAATAAAGGCTTCATTTCTTCGGTTTGGGCCATTTTTAAACTAATAATGAATTTATATCGATATAATATTTTTTTTAATGATTAATCCGGAAATCGGTGTTAACGTAACTTGTCCCATATTTTCTAAGTGCTCTTCAAAACTATCTTCGTCTTCAACCTCCACATTTTCATTTTCATTCATTATACTTCCCGTGCTAATCTCATATATCATTTTCGTTCTAAAATATCCCATTTTTGATTGTGAAAATGATAGAGGTGCATTCCGGCTCATGTGTTCCGCTGTCATCATTGCAAACACTCCACAATCGTATGAATTGTTCTGTTGTGGAGTTCTTTTCTGAAATTCACAAAAATTTTTTTGTTTCAATAATAAAAATAATTATGAATTTTATAAAGAAAAAAAAACGTCTATATTACCCTCGGTTCATAGACTTCCCATTCAGCAAACTTGAAATGCTGATTATTAGTTTGTTTGGCCAGATATATAAAGAAATCCCTCAGTTCCTACATGATTAACGTATTAATTACATTAATTACATTAATTACGCCTGAAAAATAAAACCAAGAAAAATAATTGCTATATAATTTCTACTTACTTGAATAAAACGTAGATTAAATCCTGAGCCAAGAGAATCATAGTACTCGAATCTACGTAGTTTGAAATTCGCCACGGCTAAAGTCCAATGCGCACCTGTATTAATTGGTATGAATATGTAATCTTTATCAAAGAAATTTGGTGGTGGTGCCTATTTTTATTAAAGAAAGCGTTAAAAAAAGGTATATAAAATCAAACATCATTTAAATTCAACAGACTTTTACCTTTTTCTTTTTATTTGGCCGTGGGGTGAACCATCCTGCTACAACTCCGAATCCATTTTGCATTAGTTTCGTGTAGAAAAATGTATTTACTACGTGAACCGGCGGATATATTTCAGGATTTTTTTGAGCTCGCTCAATAATAAGATGACCATAAAAATTCATGACCTATTTAAAAAAAAGTGGTTCTTGAGTTAACAAAATTACGTATCGAAAAAAATGGGAAAGAGAAAGGAAACATACCTCATCATTGAGCCAAGCACCATTAGTCAACGTGCGGATATGAGATACTGATATTTGTAAGTTAAACTTATCAATTATCGTACACGAAGGTTCATATTCTCCATGTAAATCCAAATATTTTTCAATCTGTAATATTATATTGAAGTAAGTTTTAAACGTCTTGTATAAATTCAACTTTTTCATATAAATTATCTTACCTGAATCTGCTGTTCAACAGTTAATGGTGGGTATTTTGAACTAGATTCTAGTAATTTGCGGTGATTCTCGATCTTATAAAAAAAAACTTAATTCAATAAATATATATATATATATATATACTTTATAAAAAGCAGCGGAGAAATTTTAATTTTCACCATATAATCGGATTGACGAGATTCGTCAATTATCGGCGTTGATACACTTGGAATATCATCATATCTAAAAATTTAGAACGCATATAACTTGTTAAATCAGTGTGAATAAGAATAAAAGAATGGATTAAAAGAAGACTTACGCATGCCAATTTTGTGAAGAGGTGGGTGTACTTATTTCATCGC